CTAGTTGTAGTTGGATTAATCAATTGACAAAATATTTCACGTTGTTCGTCAAGATAATCACTTTGTTGCTTGTGTGGAATTTGTTCGGAGGTTTGCTTCTTGAATCTTTGAATTTGTAAAATTTGTCGAACATCGGGTCGACGAAAGGATTCAGGATTGAATCCTGTATTCGTGGAAATAATTACTCGATGCAAATGCGCAGCAAAATTCGCAAAATTTCGCAATTACCAACCCCTGTGGCTTAGTCGCTTATGCAAGAATTCATCGAAAATCGATTGTAAATATAAATCGCGGGACGAAAGAGACAGCTTCGAGCTTTTTCAGATTCTTTTTCTTTTCAATTCGACGAGATTCCCCCTTCGGTACATGCTTCTATCGGGGAAACAGAAATTCCGAAATGAAAAAGAAGCCGGCTTCACTCGCCAACGACATCGTTTCAGTCCACCAAACGTCAGCTGTATAAAAATAATATTGATCCCCGGGTATTTTGGCGAGGGGCTGGTTTCCAGACGATCCGATCGCGCGATACCCGGGATACCGTTGATATCCTACGATCATCCGGAGACACTCGCGTCGTCTATGTTTCAGGAACGAGCCTCGTTGCTCCCTCGTGTGATTTCTCCTCTGTCAGGAAAATACACGCACGCACTTACCCGACGTTCGGTTTTACACTGAAACTCGCGAAATCACGTTCGATTTTTCAACGCGTTTTCGATGGTGTGTGTGTGTCTCTTTCTCTTTTGAAGCTCACTCTGTTATATTAATGGATTCATCCGACGGGCGAGATATTTTGTAACAGGAGCGACTGTTAATTTTGAATTATTTTGGAAATGGGAACATTTTATTTTTCTTTTCAGAACGATTGAAAAAAACAGAATTTTTAAATTACTGCGTTGCATTGCGGTTGAAATGCGCTTATAGAGATTATCTGTACCAAAATTGGATGAATTTCGTGTTTTTTTTTTTTTTTTTTTTTTTNTTTCTTAATATCGATGAATTTTGGAATAGATGGTGATTTTCGAAATATTCTAGAGACACTGTTGATTGACGGAAGAATCTCTTCTTTATTTTTTTTTTTTTTTTTTTTTGTGGTTACGTTTCTTTCTTAATATCGATGAATTTTGGAATAGATGGTGATTTTCGAAATATTCTAGAGACACTGTTGATTGACGGAAGAATCTCTTCTTTATTTTTTTTTTTTTTTTTTTTTGTGGTTACGTTTCTTTCTTAATATCGATGAATTTTGGAATAGATGGTGATTTTCGAAATATTCTAGAGACACTGTTGATTGACGGAAGAATCTCGTTATTTATTTTTTTGAATGTTCGACAAGGTGGAGTAGAATTTTAAAATATCAGATGCCGAGAGATTATCAATTTCAAATTTGCGAAATTGAAGAAACTTCGTGTTTTTTCGTGGCCACGTTTCTTTCTGAATGGAATTTTGGAATATATAGCAATTTTTGAAATATTCCAGGCCGATTTCAAATCTCGTTTTTCATAGAGTTCTTTCTTTTCTCAATGGCAGAGTGAGAGGATAAGATAGAACAGAATTTTGAAATATTACATCACGAACATGCTGAAGGATCATCGATTTCAAATTTCTGAAATTGGAAGAATTTCGTTTTTGAACACAGTTTTCTCTTAATAGAAAATTAGTAAATTTTAAATGAAAGTATTGTACATGGTAGTTTTTGAAATAGTCTAGAGATAATTGAGGGGTTGTCAATTTTAAATTTATACAAACTTTATAGAGACAGTTTTTGCAAAGTTTTTTCCTTTCCTTTCTTGTTGGAAAGATCAATGAACAAAGGATGGGGTAAAATCTTGGATAGCGAGTTTAAAACACCGAGAAATGATCAGTTTCAAATGTATAAAATATGAAGGAAACTTCGTTTCTCAATAACTTTTCCTTCTAAAATGGAAAATCGACGAATTTCGAAACGGATCGCGAGTTTTGAAATATTGGAGAGACGGACTGTCAGTTTGAAATTCGCAAAATCGAAAGAATTTCGATTTCGCGGACGCTTAATGACGCTTCTTTTCAGTGAATCGATGAATTTTCGAACGAATAGCCATTTTTGAAATGTTTCCGCGAGAGGGACAACCGGATCGCTGAATTCTGCCTCCGCGAGCCTGAAATACGTGGAACGTAAAGGAACCGCGTTCCTTTCGCATTTAATATTCAGATGAGTATGACAAGTATTTTTGAAACGGCCGGAAAAATTGTCACAATGCCGGGAGCAACGTAACCGGGAGTTCCGAGCGAACGATTTCCGAGGAAAAAAATGGAAAACCCCCCTCCCCCCCCCCCCCCTCTTTCTAGAGACTGATTTCATACAAAATACATTCACTCAAATCGTGTGTTCCGTGTGAATCGTTTGTCGATATTACATTAGTTCGAGGATAGGGGAACAACATTAACGTTGGGGGAAACGTTAAATATTTGAACGTTTAATTCTTCCAGCGCGATTCCGTAATTTTCTTTTTCTTTTTTTTTTTTCTCACTCCGTCTCCGCAATTTTATTATTTTTTTCTGTTTTTTTTTTCTTCTTTTTTACTTTTCGTTTATCGATCGAAATCATTTTTTTCAAACACGATTTTTTTCACCGATTTTCACGTTCCACGAGGGCGAAATATCCGCCGATATTTAAAAAGCCGAGTGGCGGTCGGTTTTCGATTGAAACGGGAATTCCGTGCGCGAAAGTTGTCGGCAAATATTCGAAATAATATCGATAAAATGATTATCGAATGCTTTCACATACGTTATAATGTGTGTCGCTGCGGATTAAACCGTGTATCAAGATTTAGTTATACACAACAGGATTTACAATTTTGATACGGGCGCCCGAAACGATATTTAAACACTCGTTCGTTTGCCGAGCGTTGACACAGATTTCAGAATTGCGATTAACGAAATGTCGGATTAACTGTGTTTCGAGGAATCGATTTTTTTTTTTTCACGATCAAACATTCCCCTCGTTAACCTGAAAACTATAACATGTGTTAAGTTGAAGAAACTGGCGACGAAATTAAACTGGAAAAGATCGCCGCATTTGTGTAAATATAATAAACGATCTCTCTTCGAGAGATTCTGGCGCTTCTTCGCGAAATCGAAGGAAATCGTGGATAATTGCAGCAGTGAAAAAAAAAAAAATGCTCTAATTAACAAGCAAATGCTATCGGGTTTAAATTATACGGGTTAATCACCACCAATTAATATAGGTATTAATGCAGCTATTAGTATAATACCGCCTATTAACGTTCGATACCTAATAAACCTTTGTCCTATCCGCGATTATCAGATAAATTAACAAGAAGATTTTTACTGAAAATTGCAATACTTTCCCAAATGCTTGCAACAATTATGACACTTGTCGTAACATTTTCTCCATTTTCTTCCCGTTGTCCCGATAAAAATATAAATATCTATCGTTATCTATTATTTGACCAACTGTCTCAGTCAATGCTTCAGTTTTAATTCAATTCAGGATGACAGATCGGATAAACATTTATTTACATTTGCAAACGTGTTGTTAACGTAAATATAGGAACACATTTGCAAAAAGTAAGTAAATATAAAAGCACAATTATAGCATACAAATATAAAAATATTGGATAGAAATCTTTGAAATCAGTCGATCGATCGATCGATCCTCTCGGCACAACGAGTTTCGTCTTTCTTCGCCGCGATTGGCCGTCCAGAGAAATTACTCGCGTGTGAAGGGGCGAGCAGCGAGTGTCGCGGAGGACCCCATAGCCTCCGAAGGTTTTTAAACGCTCTCTCACGCTCCGTTCACGGTTTGGCGACTTCATTCTCCCGGTTCCGAGCATTAGCGGAGCGATCTCTCGCCGCACTTGTGCAGGAGAGACGCGGCCACCCGTGAAAATTGCTCTTAGAAAAATCACGCAGGCCTCCGAGAAGCCGATTTCCCACGAAAGAAACACAGCTGTTAATGTTTGCGAACTTTCTTCCGTCGTATCGCCAACTTTCTGTCGTCTCCGGGCTGAGGGAAGTAGCTTTACGAGTATTATCTTAAGAGAGAGAGAGAGAGAAGACGTGAGATTTTTCGGAATATTTCTAACCTTGAAAATACTGGAGCAGCGTCGATTTTCATTTCAGCGAGATTTCTCTCTCGATCCTTTCAGTGGAATGTGAATTGTCTTTACAGCACTGTGGAATTATACAGGGTGGTCACTGATCAACTGAGTGATATAAAATTTCATTTAACACTAGAACTAAAGTGTAAAAATTGAGTCAAGTTAGAGTACAAGGAATAGGAAATGATTTATAATACGATAATGGACACGAACTTTTATTCATATATTTTACAAAAGCCACTCGAATTTTTGAAGAAAGTAACATTGTGAATCTACAAAATTACTGTAAAAAATTATAACACATTGGTCATTTTAACTGCTTTGGTTAGTTCCAGTGTTAATAAATATTTATTTAACAAAAATAACTTTTACAAACACATGTTTTTTCTAATTTTTTTCATTATTTTATTTGGGAATATAATTAATGGATTTTTTTTCAGTATTATGTGTGAGAATCTCAACATCCCTCAAATGACCATTTATGACTTTTCCCTTTTAATTTTTTACTTTCTCAAACCCTTCAGTTTTTTCAGTGGCCATCCTGTAGTATAGTTTAGTGAAATTTCGGAATATATACTATAGTAGAGAGTTGACATTGAAAAGAAGGCACGAAATTTTGTCGATTTCTCAATTTCGAAATTTCGAGATCTTCCTGCGAAATCTTCGAGATCTCTCGCGGCACGTGAAACGAGCTACCGAAGGTATTTCATACTTTCGTAATGGCGCGCAGTTGGTATGATAGCGAGTCCGCGGTAGATGCAATATTTAATCTTGCGCTTCCACTGAGGCACGAGCCACGGAATCTCGAGTGAGGCCACTCGTTTTCTGCGGTTTAGTTCTCTGAAATAACCAGCGTGTGCATCTCCTCCAGTTTTCACGAAAATGAACGTCACCTTGCAGGTATTCCTGTGTTATTCCGTCTCAGACGCGTTTCGCTCGAGAAGAGGAGATCAGGCTGCTCGACGCCTGACAGTGATAGAAAAATCGACGATGCTGATCAAAATTTCAACGACTCGCTCCACCATGGAAATCCTATTCCTTTTCGTTTATACGCTCTCAGGACAATAATTGAGAGGTGATCAGTTTTTTTCTTTTTTTTTTTTAGACTTTCAGGATTTCCGAATACTTTTTTCATTTCTGACGGAAGAAATATTATGAAATTGATTTCTCATCGTCACGATGAAACGCAGCGGTACGCAAGAATGGTAAGAGAATGTCAGATTAATCGAGATAACTTCGAAACGTATTTTTATGTAATATTTATATATGTAATGTGTAATATTATCGACATATTTTTGAAATATTTATACATGTATATTATACATGTAATATCACTATTGCGTAATATCATAATTCATTATACATCCCGAAGTTGAAGTACATTTTATATTACGTTGCGTTTCCTAAAGGACTATTGTATCATTAATTTCTTCTTCCTTCGTTTCTTGTTAATATTTGTATTTTTTATTAATTTCTCCTTTCTTTGTTTTTAAGTTTACAAATATTGTGTTTGTTACATTTTGCAGTACAAAACGTAATCTTAAAAACGAAAGGCAAACATCATTTTTCGATCGTATCGTATTTCATTTGATTCGTATTTAATACGTCAAGGAATTAACCTCGTGCGCTGGAGTGTCACGCACGTCGACAATTTTTTTGTCCCAAAATTGCAACATTTTCTCAGTTTTCAGTATATTTAAATGTAATCCAGGCAAAGTAAATGATAAATTCATTACTTCTTAATCATTTCTATCCAGTGATATCGTACCGACGAGTTCAAAAGAAAAAAAGAAAGCGACAAATTATTGTGTGCGGTATCGGTCACTCGTTATGGTCCGCGCAAGTGGTTAACGGGTAATTGATCTCTCTTTCTCTCACGAGCAAAGAACTGAACCACTTATATATCGACGTTACTGCGAAACTCCGCTGTTAAAACTGTTGTTAAATCGTCACCAAAGCGCGAATACACCGCATAGTTACACGAAATATAGCTTCATAGTTAACTATCCCTATAATTCTCCGCGGGAACTACAATTATCTGGCTAACGAACTTCGAATAACGAACCATTAGCCGGCGGAATAGCTACGGCGGCCTCTGGCCGTCAATTAAAGTCGGAAATCGCGAGCAGGTAACAGCCTCGAACTCAAATTCACCCACGATCGGATTCTTGACGCGCGCGGTGCGTGTAAAACTAGAAAAAGACACAGAGAGAGAGAGAGAGAGAGAGAGAGAGAGAGAGAGATGAAACTCAATAGCTCTGTCACTCGCGAGAGTGGCACGACAAGAGTTTTGTTTTTCACCGGGGCGAAACTTTCGTTCGTTTCGAGAAAGCCTTGGAAATTTCGGGGAGAACTCGATTCGGTCGAGGAAGCCGTCTCTCTGCGGCCAGGAACTCGAAGGAGAAACGCCTGACTCTACAGCCCCCTGTAGAGTCGATCGCCTGAATACGGTGTCGCCGTACAGCTGGCGAGGTAATTAGAGGATTCTTGGCCGAGGTTGTAGAGACTGTTTCAAATTGATTTGTCAAACTTTCCACCATCGAGCTCGTTACTTTCCGCCGGGAGACTTATGCCTTCGCGTGAGGCAGATTGTATCGATACACGATCGCTCTCCGAAAAGTCTCCGAGAACTTGAGAGAATTAAACTTCGTCGATCTCGTTTCACCTCCTTCGCTTCGCTTAACCCTTTGACTACTGTTGACGCCAAAATGGCGCTTGGTGAATTTACTCTAACGACACTGTAGGCGCTTAGCCTGCTTCGATCCGCTGGCACGCTAGAATTTGTTGTCGATCATAATTCCGGCAAGTCTCATTTGAACCAGACGTAAGCGAATGCCAATTCGACAATTACAAAATAGTTTCGTCACGTGTTATTCAAATTTGTCCATTTTTACAGTTACTTTCTCTTTATATCCTCAAAATGAGAAACTGGGATGATAAAATGATTAGAAAAAGTACGTGCAAACATGACACAGCGAATGATTCATGTTGCGCGTGTTGATATTTTGTAGATACGGCGTAATTGTTTGATAAGTTGGTACAATCGTCGTGCTACGAAGAGAAATTATAACTAACGAACGAAAGATGTATGCAACGAAATATATATTCTTGTACAATAAGTAAGTTACAAACGAATTAACTTAACCACTCTCTGTGCTCAAACTCACTTTTCTAATTACTTGACAACGACTGTGTGTGTTTCTCTCCTTAGTGACTGTTATATATTCCCCTAACTTCTTGACTATTGTTGTAAAACAGCTTAACGTCAATGTTAAAATTTTTAGCATGCCCACCGACAATTCAATGCAGAATACGAACAAACAAATAATGTTGGATTTAGTGGACTTGATTTAGTGGAATTCGGTATACTTTCTCAGAAGAATTTCGCCGCTCTCGCGACCGTACGACACGTCTCAAAGTCTGCGGTAGTCAAAGGGTTAACGAGGTGAATTATCTTCCATCGCATTAAATAACAAATCTCTGCGCCGATCTCTGATACAGATGGTGACTTTTCGCGATACTGTCTCGATCCGTGTCGCTTTTATAACGACCATATATATATATATATTCGCGTCACCCTAACAGCGGGTAATGGCTCCATTGATAATTGAATGAAATTCAGTTCGCTCGAGCGGGTTAAAATCTATCCAAAATTCAATTCTTCCGCTGATAAGATTTTCATGGCGCGTGAAAGCACCGTGGCGGATCCGAACGCGCGCCAATTTATGAATAGCGAACGTTTTTAATAAAATGCCGCCCAGTTATCGGGCCCACGTCGTCGCTCGGAATAAGAGGCTCGATTTTCGGGCCGAGACGGTTTCTCAGCATGCACGCGGAATTTCAGATTCGCGAACTGCGATGACGCGAGCGTGCGACGCGTGTGTAATTGGGTCGAATGCCTTTGACCCTAAACACCTGCCATGTAAAATTCACACGTGTTTTACTCGGTGTTATTACTCCGGCTGAATATCCGAGGCAATCGCTGGTTGATTCGTGCTCGAGACATCGAGTCACGTTGAATTAAGCGGCGACTCGCTGAAATTGAACGCTCGTATTGTGTAATTTCAGTGTTGAAATTGTACGGGCACGTTTATTGAACGCGTGATTAATTTTATAAGTGTACACACAATTATAAGTTTCTATCGAATTAAGCTGACAAATTGACGCGTTTCGACGAGTTTGAATTTTGTTTCTAGTATTTTTTATTCCCATTGAGAAAAATTCCAAAATTTCACGTTTCATTTGTTTCGTTTTATTGTCGTGTCGTGTGTTGATCGTTCGCATCATTTTATTATATTATCGCGTATTTATCAATTATCACTCGTCATATATTTTCATCAAGTTTACAGTAAATGTCTCTCGTGTACAGCCTCAAATGAGTATATAATATAACGAAATAAAAGAGAAATGATACATATAAAACGGACTTTTGTCTGAAGATCCAATTCATATAGAATTACCACAAATACTTCGATTCATGAAATTACTTAGTGTCTACTTAGAAATAAATCGCCGAATTTTGCTACTTTGAATAGAAAAGAAGAATTCCAAAAATTCTCGATGAAAAGACAGAAAGAGAAGGAAGAAAAAGATACCTCGTTTTTCAACTCGTCGGATTCACTTTTCCACGAATGTACCGCGCGATCGTACTTTCGTCACAACGAAACACTGCTGACGATTAAGGATGCACCGACGTTACAAATCCGCTCGTTTATCGGTCCGTTCGTTATTGCAGGGCCAGGGATTCGCCGATTCTTTTTATTTCAATGTTGCTGCCCCCATCGAGACGAGTCGTTCCCCGTAAACTTGCAGCCGCTCGAGTCCCGATCTCAATTTGTAATGAATCTCTCTCTCGATAACCGGCCGCGTTTGCTAATCGCAAACAAACGAAGCAACTCGCGAGCGTTCGCGGGTCTGCTTGAAAATTTTCCCACCCTCTCCCACCTGCCCGTCCGCCGGATAACTAATTCAACTTTAATTCGTTCTCGAATATTGCGCTTTTAACTCGGCGGAGAACGTTGAAAACAATCCTCCTTCTCGCCGGCTCGACAATTATTAAACAGCCTTCGAAATACACTCCCACTCCCTCTCTTAATCCCTGTTCTTCTCCTCGCTTTTTAATATCAACGAGTTCTCGCATTCTCGGCGCCGCTGTGTTTCGCGTTCATCAACGCGACCCGGAATAATTCGTTCCTTTTCTCGCGGAGTACATTACAACTATCAACATAATCGTACAATGAGCCTCGATCGTTTTCGAGGGTTTCTCCGCGCTCTGCCGCGTTTTCGAAGCGAATGTTTCATACGCCGGATTTAGCGAATTGAGCATCGAATTGAGTTTAAGATTGCCAGATCCGCCACTGGGGCGTATTTTGTAACACGTGACACTTGTGGGCGATAGAAAGTGAGTTTGACTATTCGCAACAAATAATTTTTATGTATATAATGCAAATAATATTATGTATATAATTTTTATTTTTTATGCAAATAATATTATGTATATAATTTTTATCTTTTTATGGAAATAATATTATGTATATATTATGTATTTTATGTATATAATGGTCTTAGTGTTAGAATTCGTAGATAACGAAACGTTTAAGTATGACAAAAATAATTTTTACTACTTATTACTTTCTTATTACTTGAAAATATTTCACAAGTGTATCAAGCGATCGCTGAATTTATTTTAAAATTAATTTACGTTGGGGCGTATTTCGTAACAGATAACACTGTTGCGGTTAGATCCAGGAAGACAAAAGATAACTCCAGAAATGAGTAAAAGTTCCAGAAAATATTCGTAGAAAATAATATCCGTGTACATATTACCGCTCATACTCTTAAAAAATCGTAGATAACGAAACGTTATCTAATTGTTTATAGAAATATTATTCTTTATAGAAATATTATTCATAGAAATAAATTCTTTATAGAAATATTATTCATAGAAATAAATTCTTTATAGAAATATTATTCAGTTCCCTCGCTTTGGAAACAAGTATGACAAAAATAATTTTTACTACTTATTACTTTCTTATTACTTGAAAATATTTCACAAGTGTATCAAGCGATCGCTGA